TTAACTGAAGATAAAACACACAAACAACATACCATAATAACATCAACATGACGCCCAGAATCTACCTGAATTCAATAAACTCATTCAAACACACACACACCACTCTCTCTCTCTCTCTCTCTCTCTCTCTCTCTCTCTCTCTCTCTCTCTCTCTCTCTCTCTCTCCAAACAGTCTGTCCGTTTCTCTTGTGTAATTCATGTTATCATTTACAAATGTCTAATGTTTTTCTTTAACTTATTCGCTGATATTAAGGTTAAATAGACTCCTAATATTAACAAGTGTATAGTGAAGAGAGAAGCGAGTTTAATGTCCTGTAGAAAAAGGAAAGTGATGATGAACCCAGACCAGTGATGATGATGGTGATGATATGATATATGTGTGTGTGTGTGTGTGTGTGTGTGTGTGTGTGTGTGTGTGTGCGTCTTGTAGTCACGTAAAAATAAACCAAAATAGTTCTTCAGCATCTGTATTGTGCTCTGTCTCTACTCTCCTGGCTGCTGATAATAGTGAAATAATAAAAATAAATCAAATAAAAACATTTCTCAGAAGGTGTATGACCCCATAATGCTCCAAGACCTTGATACCATAATGCTCCACGATCTTGATACCATAATGCTCCACGATCTTGATACTACTACTCCTCCTCCTCCTCCTCCAGCAACCACAACTTTCCTCTCTCTTCCACAGCCACATCACCACCCCAGTCCACCCCACAGCCCACATCACCAACCACATCAACCCGTCTCTACAACCATTACCACCCCTCCCTCCACAGTCACACCACTCCCCACAGCCACACCACCCCCTCCCTCCACAGCCACATCACCACCCTCTCCCCTCCACAGCCACATCACCACCCTCTCTCTCCTCCACAGCCACTTCACCACCTCTCCCTCCACAGCCACATCACCACCCTCTCTCCTCCACAGCCACATCACCACCCCCTCCCCTCCACAGCCACATCACCACCCCTCTCCCCGCCACACACATCACCACCCTCTCTCCCCTCCACAGCCACATCACCACCCTCTCCCTCCACAGCCACATCCCACCCTCTCCCTCCACAGCCACATCACCACCCCCCTCCCCTCCACAGCCACATCACCACCCTCTCCCTCCACAGCCATCCTCCCTCCCTCCACAGCCACATCACCACCCTCTCCCTCCACAGCCACATCACCACCCTCTCCCTCACAGCCACATCACCACTCCCCTCCCACAAGCCACATCACCACTCCCTCCACAGCCACATCACCACCCTCTCCCCTCCACAGCCACATCACCACTCTCCCCTCCACAGCCACATCACCACCCTCTCCCTCCACAACCATCACCACCCTCTCCCCTCCACAACCACATCCTCCCTCCACAGCCACCACCACCCCTCCTCCCCTCCACAGCCACATCACCACCCTCTCCTCACAGCCACATCACCACCCTCTCCCCTCCACAACCACATCACCACCCCCCTCCCCTCCACAGCCATCACCCTCCCTCCACAACCACATCACCACTCCCCTCCACAGCCACATCACCACCCTCTCCCCTCCACAGCCACATCACCACCCCTCTCTCCTACAGCCACTAATCACCACCCTCTCTCCTCCACAGCCACATCACCACCCTCTCCCCTCCACAGCCACATCACCACCCTCTCCCTCCACAGCCACATCACCACCCTCTCCCTCCACAGCCATCACCACCCTCCCTCCACAGCCATCACCACCCTCTCCCTCCACAGTCACCACTCTCCCCCACAGCACATCACCACTCTCCCCTCCACAGCCACTTCACCACTCCCCTCCACAGTCACCCTCTCCCCACAGCCACATCACACCCTCTCCCTCCACAGCCACTTCACCACCCTCTCCCCTCCACAGCCCACATCACCACCCCTCCCCTCCACAGTCACATCACCACCCCTCCCCTCCACAGTCACACCACTCTCCCCACAGCCACATCACCACCCTCTCCCTCCACAGCCACATCACCACTCCCCCTCCACAACCACATCACCACTTCCCTCCACAACCACATCACCACCCTCTCCCCTCCACAGCCACATCACCCTCCCTCCCACAGCCACATCACCACCCTCTCCCCTCCACAACCACATCACCACTCCCTCCACAACCACATCACCACCTCTCCTCCACAACCACATCACCACTCCCTCCACAGCCACATCACCACCCTCTCCCTCCACAGCATCACCACCCTCTCCCCTCCACAGCCCTCACCACCCTCTCCCTCCACAGCCCTCACCACCCTCTCCCCTCCACAGCCACATCACCACCCTCTCCCCTCCCACAACCCACATCACCACCCTCCTCCCTCCACAGCCACATCACCCACCCTCTCCCCTCCACAGCCTATCACCACCCTCTCCCCCTCCACAGCCACATCACCACCCTCTCCCCTCCCACCAGCCATCACCACTCCCTCCCAGCCACATCACCACCCTCTCCCTCCACAACCACATCACCACTCCCTCCACAACCACATCACCACCCTCTCCCTCCACAGCCACATCACCACCCTCTCCCTCCACAATCACATCCACCACTCCCCTCCACAACCACATACCCCTCTCCCTCCACAACCACATCACCACCCTCTCCCCTCCACAGCCACATCACCACCCTCTCCCCTCCACAGCCACATCACCACCACCTCCCCTCCACAACCACATCACCACTCCCCTCCACAGCCACATCACCACCTCTCCCCTCCACAGCCACATCACCACCCTCTCCCTCCCACAACCACATCACCCTCCCCCTCCCAACCACATCACCACTCCCCTCACAACCACATCACCACTCCCCTCCACAACCACATCACCACTCCCCTCCACAACCACATCACCACTCCCTCCACAGCCACATCACCACCCTCTCCCTCCACAGCCATCTCCCTCCCCTCCACAGCCACATCACCACCCTCTCTCCCTCCACAGCCATCACCACCCTCTCCCCTCCACAGCCACATCACCACCCTCTCCCTCCACAGCCACATCACCACCCTCTCCCTCCACAGCCACATCACCACCCTCTCCCCTCCACAGCCACATCACCACTCCCTCCGCACATCACCACCCTCTCCCCTCCACAGCCACATCCACCACCCTCTCCCCTCCACAGCCACATCCCCCCCCTCTCCCTCCACAGCCACACACCACCCCTCTCCCTCCCCATCACCACTCCCCTCACAGCCACATCACCACCCTCTCCCTCCCAACCACATCACCACCCTCCTCCCTCCACAGCCATCCTCTCCCTCACACACATCCCACCCTCTCCTCACAGCCATCACCACCCTCTCCCTCCACAGCCACATCACCCTCCTCCTCCCTCCACAGCCACATCACCACTCCCCTCCACAGCCACATCACCACCCTCTCCCTCCCCACCCACATCACCTCCCTCCACAGCCACATCACCCTCTCCCCTCCACAGCCACATCACCACCCTCTCCCTCCACAGCCACATCACCACCCTCTCCCCTCCACAGCCACATCACCACTCCCCCTCCACAACCACATCACCACTCCCCTCACAGCCACATCACCACCCTCTCCCTCCACAGCCACATCACCACTCCCTCCACAGCCACATCACCACTCCCCTCCACAGCCACATCACCACCCTCTCCCCTCCACAGCCACATCACACTCCCCTCCCACAACCACATCACACTCCCTCCCACAGCCACATCACCACCTCTCCCCTCCACAGCCATCACCACCCTCTCTCATCCACATCCTCGCATTATTAATACTTAAAACAGAAACTCATGAGGTAATCACCATATACTTTCACATTCTCGTGTATAAATAAAACTCTTGAGTAAACTTCTCCTAGTTCGTCCATTTTTACCGACTTACAGAAACAAGTGACATCATGTAAGCTCAAACTCCTTCTAACATGATGTAATAAATGTCATCCTTCAACAACAACAACAAAAACAGTCGACACATATAGTATATTTATGTATATATGAATAAAATGTTAGAATGGATTAGATTACCTGAAGATTAGGTATCACAGTTTATTTCACCTGATGAGTAAACATCCAAATGATACCTGGAGGGGTTAGGTCAGGTTAGGTCCGGGTTAGGTTAGGGTTGGAGTTGGTTAGGTCAGGTTAGGTTTGGTTAGGTTAAGTCAGGTTAGGTTAGGTTAAGTTAGTGTTTAGGTGTTTAATCATCAGGTGAAATAAACTTGGGGGTGGGGGGAAATTCAGGTGATCATATACAGTATATCTAGTGTACAGTAAAAGACCTACAGTATATCATCGGGACACATTGACCAATTACTACACAATACACGACCATTACACCTGGACAACACCTCACCTCCATCACCTGCTGGTTGGGTGACCTAATATGGCTGCTCCTGACCTCATAAGGCTGCGTCTCCGTTGCCATAGTTACCAATCCTTTCCTAAGCAGATCAGTTTAATATTATCTGCCACTGATGTAGCTCCGTTAGGTGGTGACAGATGGTATAATAATAATAATAATAATAATAATAATAATAATAATAATAATATAATAATAATAAAATAATAAACACCAGCCACTAGTAAATAAAGGAGAGAGGTAAATGGGAGTAAACAGTGGAATGCAGAATGGCGGTGATGGGATACACGCCTAAATGTTCTTACACATAGAACGTAAACAGTAGAGAATTCGCGAATTACTGACTCTTATTTAATCTCTTGAGTATGATGACTTAATCCTTTGAGTATGATAACTTGACCCCTTGAGTATAATGACAGCTCTTTGATTTGATGCCGTAACCCTTTCAGTACACAAATGAATTAAACTATCGTTCAAGGGTTAAGTCATCATGCTCAAAGGATTAAGTCGTCTTACTCTAGAGATTGAATTCTCATACACAAGGGATTAAGTTATCGTACTCAGGGATTAAGTTATCGTACTCAAGGGATTAAGTTAACGTACTCACGACACCCCCACACAGATCCTCACACTAACCGTATCTGCGGCAGCAAGGAACAGGTCGGTAAGAAGACGAATGATTCTGTTGTGGTCGAGGTTGTCCTCCAGCAGTAGGTGGTCCAGCAGGGTCACGGGCTCCTCTCCTAGCTCCTGCCTCCTCCGTGACTCCCTTAGTCCCTCCTGCACCAGCTGTTGGCCTGTAGGATAGCAAAAGAGGGAAATAAAACTCCGAGGAATTTCTTAATGCCCAGTGGTAGGTGTGGGTACGTGTATCAGTGAATGTGTAGAAGGCGGCGTGTATCAGTGAATGTGTAGAAGGCGTTTATCAGTGAATGTGTAGAGGGCGTGTATCAGTGAATGTGCAGAGGGCAGCGTGTATCGGTGAATGTGTAGAAGGCGTGTATCAGTGAATGTGTAGGGGCGTGTATCGTAAATGTGTAGAGGGCGTGTATCAGTGAATGTGTAGAGGGCGTGTATCAGTAAATGTGTAGGGGCGTGTATCAATAAATGTGTAGAAGGCGTGTATCAGTAAATGTGTAGAGGGCGTGTATCAGTGAATGTGTAGAGCGTGTATCAGTAAATGTGTAGGGCGTGTATCAGTGAATGTGTAGAGGATGTGTATCAGTGAATGTGTAGAGGCGTGTATCAGTAAATGTGTAGAGGGCGTGTATCAGTGAATATGAGAGGGCGTGTATCAGTGAATGTGTGAGGGCGTGTATCAGTAAATGTGTAGAGGCGTGTATCAGTGAATGTGGGGACGTGTATCAGTGAATGTGTAGAGGACGTGCACCAGTGGAAGTAGCGTAGAGGTCGTGTACTAAGACCCACCGGCAACAAGGGCGCGGTCGACAGCATCAGCAAAGCGGGTCCAGACAGGGAGGTGGAGGGCTCTGGCCAGGGTAGGGGGGAAGGTACCCATGGCACAGGTCTCCTTGAAGATCCCGTGTATCGCCTCTATAAACTTCTCCATCTCCTCCTGTCTACTGTTGCTGCTGCGGTTGGGGGCGCCGTCGGGACTCCCAGGTTCCTGCTGCAGAAAACCCAACCTACTCCCGAACACCATGACGCCCAGGGCTGTCGAGAAAGATCATCATCGGGACAGTTAGTTTGGGACGATGACGGCTGAAGTGTAGTGTATGATCAGAGGCGAGGACACCTCCAGGAGACAACAGAGGGAGAGTAAAGATGTCTTATACTGGTAGATAAACAAATAAAGAAGCATTAAGACTGACTAGAACAACAGGATAATTAATAAACATTCATAGAAAAATAAAATTGAGATACTTCGGTAACACAGCCATGGAGGAGATGATAACAGTGTACAGTAGATGTTTATAGGTAAAAGGAAGAGTAGGAGGGTCAGAGACTGGTTCACCTGAGAGGTATACACAATGTGGGAGAGTTGGTAAAAGCAGCCCCTTTGGCGTGGAGGGCCGTGGTCTCCAACCCTCAGACATGAAGGAGTTTGAAGGAGTTATGGATTTACTCTTCCGTGTGTATAGATCCATTAAGGCATAAAGTACAGTACTACATTTGTTGATATGAAAGATGAAAGTAGGTCCCGTAAGCCTACCGATCCGCCAGGGGCAGTGTGGATAAGGGTGTGGATGCGGATATTCACAGATGGCCACCGCACGTTCATGTATATATGTTACTTACTTAGGCCTATAATTATATGAGTGTGTTGGTGCAGGATCCAACCCACTGCAACAGTCTCCGTGCAGTTTCTACACATTGTGGTCGCTATCTTTGTGTTACTGCTCAAACTAACCAAAAGAGTGCATTCTCACTTCACAAGTTACTGGAATTTCTTTACATATGAAACTCTGGTATACTGTGTACAAACTCACACATATTATGTACAGTACGCTCAATTTGTCCTCTACCAAGTTCATAGTAAGCGTATCGAATTATAATAGAATGATCGTGTAATTTTGGTGCCATTTTGGAAGTTATTTTTGTGATTTACCTCAAGTGAGGCGGGGAGATGCGTCCTTACATCTCCATTTATGAGAAAGATCAGAGGCATGAATCTCTCCACCTCCAACACCAGATTCTAAGAAATTGTAAGACGAATATTGCTCGTGACTGAAGATGTAAGAATGTGACTAACTTAAGATAAAACACTGAAGGAACGTCAAAGAATAATATAAAAATTACAACAAGACTCTACGTTAATTAAATACGTGCACAAAACACCTGTTACGAGGTGAAACTAAGGGAGAGAATGTGTGAGCGGGAGACAGTGTGGCTCACGTCATCAACCCCGCCACACAGTGAAAGGAAGAGTGAACTGTTTTATTGTGAGGACGGAGAGAGAGAGAGGGAGGATGGGGGGAAGAACAAAGTAAGAGTGGAGGAGAAAAAGAGAAGGGGGAGTGGGAGGATGAAAGGAAGGGAAAAGGATATGAAGGAGAATCGAGGGAGCAACTGAAGAATCTCTTACACGTCTTCGTTAGCCCTCAGCATCACCCACACACACACACACACACACACACACACCAATAGGCCTCGCTCGTAATAGCCCTCAATCCAAGTAAGCCTAAATCTAATTTGGCATAATTTGTTTAACGATTGGAGTCTATTAAGCTTGGGCACACAAGTTAAGCTGGGGGCCTGTTAGAACACGCGCCCCCAATCTTAGTGGTTAGGTTAGGTTAGGTTTATAATCCATAATGAATGCCTACATGTACTGTATGTATAAAAATAAATTGTCAACACAGCCTCGTGGAAACTTACATTCAATGGCCCAGCGGTACAATTCTCGCTCCAGGTTGGGGACAGCGATGCCCGAGAACTGAGAGGTCCAGCGGTCCACCAGGGCATCAGCGACCTGTGAGAAGCCCGGGTGGTGGGGTGTCACGGAGCTGGGGCGGAGGAGACGGCGGTTCAGCACACGACGGTTCTCCTTCCACTCCTCACCCTCCCTGCAACACACGGGGCACGGTGATGTCAAACATGTATGATGGTATAACACACACACACACACACACACACACACACTACAGAAGTAAAGTAATCTAGCATAAAGTGAGAATACTTGATGAATAAAATAACTCAAGATGAAGACGCCGGGATAATGAGGTTTACTTGGTCTGGAAACCTTTGTCGGGGTTTCCAGTTTACCATCACAAACAAACAAACAGACTCAAGATGATGTTTATTTTAAGTGAAGATTTAAGAAAAAATATATATAATGATAAAATTTAAATAAATCTTATATTTAGAAACAAAATTTATCGTTTTTGTTTATTCCCCGCCGAACGTTTAGTGAAGCGTATGGATAATGCTGATGAGGACTTTGTGCGTCTGTTCGCCCGCTTTCCTGCATAATCGCCCGTCCGTCCGTCCGTCCGTCCGTCCACCCGTCAGAACGTAACACGATGTTTATGTAATAACAGGAGGTGTCTGGTTTGGGTACACAACCGTCTGACCAGATCATTCAGTAAGAAAGTGTGTGTGTGTGTGTGTGTGTGTGTGTGTGTGTGTATGTGTGTGTGTGTGTGTGTGTGTGTGTGTGTGTGTGTCTCTGTGTGTGTCTGTGTGTATGTGTGTGTGTGTGTGGTGTGTGTGTGTGTGTGTCTGTGTGTGTCTGTCTGTGTGTGTGTCTGTGTGTGTGTGTGTCTGTGTGTGTGTGTGTGTCTGTGTCTGTGTGTGTCTGTGTCTGTGTGTGTGTGTGTTGTCTGTGTGTGTGTGTCTGTGTGTGTGTGTCTGTGTGTGTGTGTCTGTGTGTGTGTGTCTGTGTGTGTGTGTGTCTGTGTGTGTGTGTGTCTGTCTGTGTGTGTGCCTGTGTGTGTCTGTGTGTATGTGTGTCTGTGTGTGTGTGTGTGTGTGTCTATGTGTGTGTGTCTGTGTGTGTGTGTGTCTGTGTGTGTGTGTGTGTCTGCGTGTAATAATAATAATAATAATAATAATAATAATAATTAACGGTTTATTGAAAGAGCTTAGCAGCCAGAAGGCTGAAAATATACAGTTACATATTTGGGGAATGGGTTACGAATTACAAATAATATACAATTAACATAAGTGACACAAATAAGACATATAATAACTAGATGTGGAAAAGCTCAAACTACAGTTCATTTCAACATAGTGACAGTGTAAGGAGCAGTGTTTACTGGGAGTGAATACACTGATTTATTACAAGTTATTGATAATTTTTACAATGGTTGGGACTGGGCTGTTCTTATAGCGATCAGTTCGTGCACGTATGGGCTGGATGCGGTTGTGGTGTCGAACAGCAATTCTCGGACAAGGGATCTCAGGTGGTAGTAGGAGCCGGTGTCGGGGATGGTGTAGAAGCTTCTTACCAAATTTGCAGATGAGGTCGTGGTGATGGTCAGTGAGAGTCGAAAGGGTCAGTGTGTTGAGCGCTTCTTGATATGTGGAGTAGGAAGGGGAGAGAATAATCTTGCATGCCCTCTTTTGCACTTTTTCTAGGTGTTTACGTTGTGTGGCATTTAGGGAGGAAGACCAGGTGGGGGAGGCATAGGTGAGCTTGGGAAGTATGAATGTTGTGTAAACACTGAGGAGCTCGTGTGCAGGAACTCCGAGGGACTTGAGTCGGCGGAGGAGGTGGAGACGGAAACTGGAGGATTTGATGACTTCACTGACGTGTGGTTTCCAATTTAGTTTGTTGTCTATGGTGACGCCGAGGAGCTTCGTGGAATCTACAACCTGGAGTGTGTTCGGACCTAGAGTAATGGAAGGAGGTGGGACAATGTCGGAGGAGAGGTTGATGTGCATAACCATGGTCTTGGTATGGTTGATGGTGACATGGTTGTTGGCGGCCCAGTTTTGGAGACTGTTCAATAAATCCTGAAGGGCGGTATAGTTGGGAGCAGAATTGTTGACGCTGTGTGTGTGTGTGTGTCTGTGTGTGTGTCTGTGTGTGTGTGTGTGTGTGTGTCTGTGTGTGTAAAATCACAAGTAGTGTTGCACAATAAGTCTGCTCTCATAAAAACAGTTACATATCATATTTTTTATAGCCGATAAAAGGAGTCAATAATAATAATCATAATAATAATAATAATAATAATAATAATAATAATAATAATAATACTAATAATAATACTAATAATAATCGACAAATGGAGCCCCCACACTTACGCGTTACGGGAAGTCAAACACACGGTAAATCATTGAACACCTTTAATCCCTTTGTTCAGATAATTAATCGGATCAAGCACGCCCGAGCTCTCAAGAGGACCAACACCCCTCGACAACAAGTTTCAAGGGAATCCGTCCACCTGTTATATGAGTTATGACGTTCACAGAAAGCACACGGACATGCAGGGATGAGAAGGTCGACAGTGTCCTCATTGTCAAACCCGGAAGAGGGAAGAAAATAAAACTATAAAGTGGATGAGGAAAGTAAGATTTTTTTTTTCAGTGGTAATTAAAGCCCCAGGTGTGTAATTTTGTCAAGGTAGCATCAGGTGATCTCTGGAAGGTAACCAACTGTGTATGTTTTTTCTCTTTTCTCTCGACTCAGTCCCTCAAGTTCCTTCTCACGCCTTGAATTAAAACAACTGATGACAATAACTGTGTGTTGGCAGTAACGAGACGTCAGCTGATAGTGAGGTTTGTATATACTGCAGTATTATCGCCACGACTCTCTCTCTGACTCTCCCTTGAGGCCTACCTGCCCAATTACTGCCTCCGGTCTTCCTAAACTGTCTAGTATATATGAGCACACCGTATTATCCACAAGTCACACCTATACCAGTATATAGTATATACATTTGGGAACATACCATGCAATCAGTTTTCACACACACACACACACATTCAACATCTACAGTACATCAACCACGACACACTTGAGAATGCGATAATTAAATAGAGCCGGTTACATCATACACTGCGTAGTGAGGTCATTTAAACCGTTAGCTAATCAATATTAGCGGCCGCACCTGACGACGTTACTCGACTTAACTTTCGCCCTGACACTCTAGTCTAGAGTCAAGGGCAAGTGAATGTCGACATGCGCACTGCTTCCGGATTCCCTCACGCAAACAACAACAACAATGAACTTTACCGTATGTATTCACCTGATCCCGTATTCTATTCTTCAGGAGATCCAGTTTGAGATGTGGAATTCTGTAATCTATACTTTTGTTCTTAAGTTCTAATATATCAAGAGAAAAATTAGTCCATATTGAATTCAATAGATTCTACAATTGGATCGCATGAGGATTAGGCACCCCATTTTACTTGATGATCCTAACGTTACCTGGAGGGATGAGTTTGTGTTATGTTATGTTGTGTTATGTTAGGTTAGGTTAGATTAGGTTACGTTAGGTTAGATTATATCAATTTTGCTTGTGTTACGAAATTTTACATTAAGTTCAAGTAATCTCGAACGCTTATAAATACCCGTAAATTAAAGTTGTTTGTAAAATACAGTGTTATGGCGTGTGTGACCACCACCACCATCACTGTAAACACTTATTATATGATCTGTTTATTATTAGTCTCTCTTTAGCACACACATACACACACACACACACACGCACATGTACACCCACTAAAAAATTATTCAGCACCCGTGTCATATTGTATCACGCCGTAAGGGTGCCGAATAATTGTTTAGTTAGTGTACACACGTATGAGAGAACGAGAGAGAGACTTGTGGTGAGCATCAAGTGTCAAGCAGGCGTAAACACTGACAGCTAACAACAGGGGAGGGTGAGGAAAAGAGAGAGAGTGTGTGTAGAAAAGAGAGGGAGCAGAGACGAGATGAGGAGGATAAGAAAGACGAAATGAAAATATCATCATGACTTATATATACTGCGAATGAATTTGATGTATTTTTTGTGTACGAACCTCTGTCCTGCATGGCAGTGAACAGTGACATCACCCACATGAATCTAACCTGTTAATGACTAAGATCTATTTCTTTGTGTATGAACCTCTGTCGTGCGTGGCAGTGAGAAGTGATACCACCCTCAGTGTCAAGACCTGACTGACTTACTCAGAATAGGCAAACCGTACTCCAAGCTTTGTCAATAAATTTGTTAAACTAAAACTAAACATCATGAATTAGATAGATACAAACAAAGAAATATTAATGACAAGTGTTATGAACTAATAAGAAACGAGTGCGAGTAAAATACGTATGGAAGAAGAAGAAGAAATAAAGCAAGAAGAAAGGCAGGGAAAAAAATAAATAAGAGAGAAAAGAGATAGAGAAGATATGAAGGCCATCGGCAACGCTCAATATGAAAGAAAATGACACAAGTTTCGAGGGGTGTCTATAAGAAACGGGGAGAGGAAGTCGCCGTATGCTTAACACGGTGTAAAAACCTATTTACCGCCACAAATTTCCATCCATTGGGAATTTCTTTGCGTTTTCATAATTTTAGCTGAAGTACTGAAACCACGAATCACTTTTGTTGAATAATAAATGTCTGATTTTTACCCAATTTACCTTTCAAGCGAGAATTTGAACTGAGAGAATCACAAAAAAAAAAAAACACGATGGGAAAGAATGTATTGGTTGTGATTAATTGATTGAATAATGTAATGAGAAAATTAATTATTCTATTGATGAATTTTTCACTAATATAATGGGCGATGGATGATTATTATTTTTTTATATGAAATAGTCGATGAAGAACACACACACACACACGTCAACAGGTGTGTAAGAGGAAGTCAAGAGAAGAAGGTGAGAGAGAGGGGGAGAGACGTCACAAACCTTAACGTGACCCCTTGAGCAGTCTTCAACCTTCAGTATAGCGTCCAAGGAAACTCTCTCTCTCTCTCTATTTCATTTTTTTCGATCTCTGTCTCTTTCTATTTTTCTCGCTTTCATTTTCTTTATTTATCTCCCCTTTCTCTCTCTTGATGTCTGTCTGTCTGTCTGTGCTTGTCTCTCTACATCCATCTATTTATGTTTGTCTATCTATCTATCCGTTTCTCTCCTTTTATGCCTATGATAGCGAGGGGGAGAAGGGGAGATAGGGAGGGGAAGAAGAGGCGATAGGGAGGGGAAAGGGGGAGGGAGAGGCGGGGAGGAGAGGAGAGAGAAGGGGGGGGTGGAGAGAGGGGGGGTTACTTAACACAATTTGCAAATAGCTGAATTGTCTGAGGTCATTCACAAGTACTGTAATTAAGCAGTTTATAGTCGTTAGTCCTCGTTGGTGTCTTTTAGTCACTCATCTTAGAGTTTGGGGTGTCTACTCTTCAGGTAAAATAAGCTGGTGTCTAATCTTAATGTAAAATAAGCTGGGTGTCTAATCTTCAGGTAAAATAAGCTGGGGTGTCTAATCTTCAGGTAAAATAAGCTGGGTTGTCTAATCTTCAGGTGATATAGGCTGGGGTGTCTATTCTACAGATGATCTGGGGGGAGGGGCGAGGTATTAAGTTCAACGCTTAATATTCCCTTTACACGAGGGTGCATTGACTCGGTTGCATGGCCTCTGAATGGGTAATCCTGTATGAGTAAGGAAGCAACAGTTAAATCATGAATACTGATCATTATACAGGGTAATGGCGAGAGCTCAGAACGCCTCACCATCACCACAGTACCTCATTGTCATCATGTTGTTCTCATTATCCTCCTGGCTGCTTCATCATTATCATCATCCGGCCATATGTTATTATTATCCCGAGGCAGAAGAGCCACTACAGTAACGCGATACTAACGCTAGTTTAGTGTTGAAGGTCACTCCCCTCACCTCTCTTCTTTTTCTCCTGATTCTCTTTTTATCCCCCTTTCTCTCCCTTATCCTCTCCTGTCTACTATACCACTCCCCCTTTCTCTCCCTTATCCTCTCCTGTCTACTATACCGCTCCCTCTTTCTCTCCCTTATCCTCTCCTGTCTACTATACCACTCCCCCTTTCTCTCCCTTATCCTCTCCTGTCTACTATACCGCTCCCTCTTCCCTCCCGTCTCGCCCCTCCTCTCTTTCTCTCTCTCTGTCACACTCCCCTCACACACCCTGTATGTTGCGAACTCTTAGACACCCTACAGGTATGTGACACACTCCTACATACACTGTGTGACACACTATCTCATTCATAGACACACTCTTAGACGCACTATGTGACACACTCTTAGACGCACTGTGTGACACACTGTTAGACGCACTGTGTGACACACTCTTAGACGCACTGTGTGACACACTCTTACAAACACTATGTGACACACTATGACACTCTTAGACACACCATGTAACACACTCTTAGACACACACACCCTATATGATAGTCACACACGACACATAATTACCCAGACAGTGACCCCCTGAGCCAAGGTCATGACAACATAAGTTATAAATAACTCTTCTCGTGTACACTGTGGTTGTTGGTAGTTAGTGGTGGTTGTTGGTAGTTAGTGGTGGTTGTTGGTAGTTAGTGGTGGTTGTTGGTAGTTAGTGGTGGTTGTTGGTAGTTAGTGGTGGTTGTTGGTAGTTAGTGGTGGTTGTTGGTAGTTAGTGGTAGTTGCTGGTAGTTAGTGGTGGTTGTTGGTAGTTAAGTGGTGGTTGTTGGTAGTTATTGGAGGTAAAAATATACCGTGAATTACTTTTAAAAGTTTTACTTCAACAACATATAATTTTGGCACATAACATGTTCCAATATTCCAAAGTCGAGAGAGAGAGAGAGAGAGAGAGAGAGAGAGAGAGAGAGAGAGAGAGAGAATATGCTACCCACTCGTGTACGGAATCCTCACTGTGCTAGATAAATCATCTTGCTTTAGCCAAATAAAATACCAGGTACTAAAAGTGGCCTCCCTGTAGACCACAGTTAAGAGATTATATTCCCTCTAGTTAATATATAACATTCATGTCTCGCCATATACAGTATATGTTAAGGGCACCGCCATTGGTGTTCATATGTATTTAAGTTCCACAAGTTACTAAGTATCATGTACGGACTCTTGAATGTACAATCGGGGTTAAAAGTCTTGAACACTTGACAGTATTTGGCATGTAAGTACCCGAAGATCTTGGGTATTAAGGAGAGTTTTATCCCATTTTGTGGTTCAGTCATAATATGTGATGACAAGTAGTGTTATTAGTATATCCCAATCATATATGTATAACTCAGATATTGCTAAGTGTTCAAGACTTTTGACCCCGACTGTAAGGTGTTGGTCAAATCTGGTTTTAAATGAGCTTATACATGGTGTTGTCGTAACATTCTCAGCCAAGTTATTCAAGAGTTCACAGCTCTTACTCCATAGAAGTTTGCTCTTGACATGTTTCTGTAGTGATGGCTTCTTAAACTTAAGGCTAAAACGACTAGTGGATCAGCCATCCATTATCTACAGGTACAGTATGTTTATTTAACTGAGTAATGGCCTTTAGATGCTTAATAACGTTTATTAAATTTTCTCTTTCTTTTCTGTAGTGTAAACTGGGCAAGTATCCACGCTCTATATCTCTTGGTAGGGGAGGTGTCGGAGTGCCGCCACTATGGCTTGATAGATCTCCTTTGAAGATCAATTAACCAAGTAACTCTTTGACACATCCCACTGGCGAAGCAGAACTGCGGGGCTTTCAAAGGGTTAAACAATCGTGTTAAGGGTTGAACTATCGCCATCAAACGTGTGATCGACCGCAATTCTAACATTAACACACGCACACAGATACACGCATTATTATTAGTGAACTTGAAGCTCCGCAACACCTCATCTCAGGGAACCATCTGCAGCGGTTCACAAGTTCCCGTTACTGTCACGAGTCGCGGGAGATGGTTACGTGAGTGGCGGTAGGGCGAGTTCCTCCATGTTGATGGCTCTGGGTTAACACATCTTTTGAAATATCTGAGTTAACACACACACACACACGACTCTCGGGAAACATTACATGGACACTGTGATACAAGGCAACTGGCGAGAAGTCACCCAGTTGACTAACAAACAATAACACACAAGAACCAGACACTCCCTGGGGGTTGACTGTGGCTTTTAGTGGAAAAATGACTGTTAATACAAAGAACTATATGGGCCAGATGACTCGTAAACAGCGGTGTGATCTTAATAATGTTTGGTTGATGTCGACTACTATTATTTTGTTCACATTTATTGGAGTTAGTACCTGCTCAGGTACTAGACTCTAATATATGCTGTTAGTTATTAATGTTTGGGTGGTGGCGGTTGAGGAAATACATAACTCGGTTCCTGTCCATAAGGGTAGTTAGTTCGCGCCTAATACAGCCCCAGTTCACGTAGCTATGAACGGGTATCTAATTTTACAGTTGAGGAAGTAAAGACGGCCGAGTTCACTGCTGACGACTACACTGCTTCCTTAAACACTGAGGCTTTATATACACACTGCTGTTTCCACTGACCATGTCTGCCTCTTGTGGGTTAGGCCTATGGGACCCACTTTCACTAGTTCCTGGCAGCTGGTGAGTGGTGCCTTGAGTAAACAGTGCCTAGTTCAAAATGACCAAATGAAATTATCCGAGTGATTAATGTTGGTCATATACTAAACGCTGAACCCTTAACACTTATACATTATCCTGATGATAAGTGAGAGTCCTGAATGACAAGTGCTGGGTCATGGTAACTGGTACACCAGTGTTTGTTGTTGAATACTAGTGTGTGAGCCTTTATACTAATGTTTGTTGTTGAATACTAGTGTGTGAGCCTTTATACTAATGTTTGTTGTTGAATACTAGTGTATGAGCCTTTATACTAATGTTTGCTGTTGAATACTAGTGTATGAGCCTTTATACTAATGTTTGCTGTTGAATACTAGTGTGTGAGCCTTTATACTAATGTTTGTTGTTGAATACTAGTGTGTGAGCCTTTATACTAATGTTTGTTGTTGAATACTAGTGTATGAGCCTTTATACTAATGTTTGTTGTTGAATACTAGTGTGTGAGCCTTTATACTAATGTTTGTTGTTGAATACTATGAGCCTTTATACTAATGTTTGCTGTTGAATACTAGTGTATGAGCCTTTATACTAATGTTTGTTGTTGAATACTAGTGTGTGAGCCTTTATACTAATGTTTGTTGTTGAATACTAGTGTGTGAGCCTTTATACTAATGTTTGCTGTTGAATACTAGTGTATGAGCCTTTATACTAATGTTTGTTGTTGAATACTGTGTGTGAGCCCTTATACTAATGTGTTGTTGAATACTAGTGTGTGAGCCTTTATACTAATGTTTGTTGTTGAATACTAGTGTATGAGCCTTTATACTAATGTTTGTTGTTGAATACTAGTGTGTGAGCCTTTATACTAATGTTTGTTGTTGATACTAGTGTGTGAGCCTTTATACTAATGTTTGTTGTTGAATACTAGTGTGTGAGCCTTTATACTAATGTTTGTTGTTGAATACTAGTGTATGAGCCTTTATACTAATGTTTGCTGTTGAATACTAGTGTGTGAGTCTTTATACTAATGTTTGTTGTTGAATACTAGTGTATGAGCCTTTATACTAATGTTTGTTGTTGAATACTAGTGTGTGAGCCTTTATACTAATGTTTGCTGTTGAATACTAGTGTGTGAGCCTTTATACTAATGTTTGTTGTTGAATACTAGTGTATGAGCCTTTATACTAATGTTTGTTGACTATAATGGTTATTGTTGACAACCAGTGTTTGACCTCAGTAACTAAAGTGCTTTACTACTACAACAAACACACACACACTCACATGAAGAAGAGCCCCCTGCTGACCTGCCGGTCTTGGTTGTACAGGAGCCACGCCTCGGGGATGAAATGTCGCGGAAACGCTCCTTCTGCGGCGAACACCTGCCTGACGTCGGCGGGGTCTGACACGAACACCATCTCAGATCCCGCTAGATTTTCCTTGAAGACGCTTCCCAGCTCCCGGTGCCGCTGAGAGATGTACTTGTGATACAGCTGGACACCGCCAGCAGCCAGGAACTCCGGCAGGGTGCCCAGGAGAGGGTAGCCTTTGGGAGTTGGCAGCTCGTCGTAGGTCTTGGGTTTACTTGAGGTAAGGGAGGGTTGTGGCAGAACAGATGTAGTGGTCTCTACGGGAGGTTTAAGGTCCTCCAGCGTGGTGGCGAGTGTGGCTCTGCTCCTCCGCTGCGCCGCCTTCATTTGGGAGTTGACTCGGCGCAGGTGACGCCGAAGTACCTTGGGGACGACACCAGCCATCACGGTGGTGTTCCAGTGTACTGTATTAGCAGAAGTGTTCACTTGGTGATTATTGTGACGATGTCAGTCCCTTCGTGTCTCAAAGTTAGGACGGAATACAACTGAATGTCATGTTCAGAGTCATGTGCTGTATTATTATAAAAGCGCACCTCCTCCCCTGTCAACAAACTACTGTAGACTGACGCTCGTGGATCGCGAACCTGGCTTTAATAAGAATGACCTGACCCACAGAGCCGCCCACATCTTCAACCTCCAACCAATCAACACCGCGCTGCCCCTGTGATGTTCAATTATAGAGTAGAGGTCGCAATTTTTAAATATCTTCAATGCACTGATTTATAAATATAGTCACGAGAGGAAACTCTTAAAAATTTTATTGAATAATACGACAATTCACGATGCCGGGAGAGCTTGAATCGTACGCCAGGCAGAGAGACCGGTATGAATGGAGGATGCACAGAGTAAAAGAGCTCTCTCTCTCTCGTAATTTTTAATTGTTGATATACTAGTGTAATTACTAATCTTGTTACGCACTTAAAATCTGTCAGCAGTTGAAGCACAGTAATAACATTATAACGTCAATGATCGTGGGAGGGGAGAGTACGAAGAGAGTAATTAAAGAGTAGGCAGATACTTTCCCGTAGCTCACTGCTCGTATCACTGTCAACTTACTCGTGGCGTTAATGTTCAGTCACTTTAGTAGCCACACGAAACCCAGTGATATAATTGTTGTGTGAATTACGATTTGTCATTAAGAAACTTTTCAGAATATATTGTTAATTTCTTTCTGCCTCTCTTTCTTCACACACACGAGCTGCTTCACTTCTCTGACTGGGTATATCAACTTCAAACTTAACTGAATGTCAAAGTTGATATGATAAGTTCCCCCTAATTCAATTCTTTCTTAATTACTTGGATAAGATATGTTTTAGAGTTAAGATGTCTGTTCTCAAGTTTAAAGGGGAATATTATTTTAATATACATAAACCTGTAAATGTAAACCTAAACCTGTGTGCCTGAACCTGTATACCAAAACCAGTATTTATGCCTAAACCTGTGTACCTAAACCTGTATTTACGCCAAGACCTTGGTACATAAACCTGTACTTTATACCTAAACCATTACTTTATATCTAAACCTGTACTGTATACCTAAACCAGTACTTTATACCTAAACCTGTACTGTATACCTAAACCAGTACTTTATACCTAAACCTGTATCTTATACCTCAACCTGTACTGTATACTTAAACCTGTATTTTATACATCAACCTGTACTTTATACTTAAACCTGTACTTTATACCTAAACCTGTGTACATAAACCTGTACTTTATACCTAAACTTGTGTACATAAACCTGTACTTTATATCTAAACCTGTGTACATAAACCTGTACTTTATATCTAAACCTGTGTACATAAACCTTTAATTTATACCTAAACCTGTGTACCCAAACCTGTACGAGAGAGAGAGAGAGAGAGAGAGAGACACTGGCCCCGTATTGATAAAGAGGTGCAAGTGTGTACATAGATGACTCAAGGTGTGTGTGTGTGTGTGTCTGTGTGTGTGATATTACCATCCGTCATCACCTGTGAACTTGGCCTCTTGGTCTTAAAGGTGATGTGGCAGCCCCTGTTATAAACACTAAAGGTCACCTCCTAATGAACGCGGCCTTGACATACAAAATATACATCAAGAGCCTGTGTAACTCTTTTACCTACCACGCAGGTGATTTATGCTATCAAATTAAAAACTAAATTAAATTCAAATTCAAAATTAAATCCAACTTGCAGATGACAATTTCCAAATTCCTTACACTGATATTTATTCGTCTTCTCTTCCCTCACTCCCAAGACTTACTTTTCTTAGCGGTTTCTCATGATGTCAATGATATAGAGTTCTGAGTATTCTTAAGCCCTGGGACCCTCGTAAAGCTGTCCAGGGTTTTCACGATAACGTAATCCCTCGTTAGTGAGAGTGGAGGAATATGTCCACTTGGCTGGCTTTCGGTAAAATATAAAATAAATATTATCCCCAAAATAACGTCAACATTACACTGAGTTAGGCGACAAAATTACACTGAGACTCTACTCTAACTTGTTCTTATTCACGAGGTAGATGTCTCACTAGGTAGATGTCTCGTCAGGTCGATGTCTCACCAGGCAAATATCTCAATAAGTAGATGCCTCACTAGGTAGATGTCTCACTAAGTAGGTGTCACACCATGTAGATGTCTCAATAGGTAGATGCTTCACCAGGTAGATGTCTCAAAAGGTAGATGCCTCACTAGGTAGATATCTCAACAAGTAGATGTCTCACTCGGTACATGTCTCGTCAGGTACATGTCTCATTAGGTAGATGTCTCACAAGGTAAATGTCTCACCAGTTAGATGTCTCACTGGAGAAGCAATTTAAGGGAAACATGACAAAACTTTCCCTCGTTATCATGTTGTTACGCTCAGTCACGTTCCCTCCACCACAGACAGGACGTAACTGTGTGACGATACTGACGGGTAATAGCGTTAAGTGACGAACCTAATCGACAGACGCGTCACTCCTTACCGTTACTACCTAAGGAATGGATTTAAGTGATGTCTTCTTCTTCTTATTATTATTATTATTATTATTATTATTATTATTATTATTATTATTATTGTTGTTGTTATTATTATTATTATTATTATTGTGAATTGATGAAGATTGGAACCCTTCCTCATTATCAAGATATATATTTTTTATCAGTAGACGGACCACACGACCTTGGCTAGAGGGAACAGCTGATTGTAGGAACAGCTGATTGTAGGAACAGCTGATTGTAAGAACAACTGACTGTAAGAAGTGTTGACTGCAAGAACAGCTAGTTGTAATAACAGCTGGTTGTAAGAACAGCTGATTGCAAGAACAGCTGATTGTAAGAAGTGTTGATTGAAAGAACAGCTAGTTGTAATAACAATCGATTGTAAGAACAGCTGATTGTAAGAAATGTTGACTGAAAGAACAGCTGATTGTAAGAAATGTTGACTGAAAGGACTGCAATAACAGATGGTTGTAGGAACAGTTAATTATAAGAAGTGTTGAGTGCAATAACAGATGGTTGTAGGAACAGTTGATTGTAAGAAGTGTTGACTGCAATAACAGATGGTTGTAGGAACAGTTAATTGTAAGAAGTGTTGAGTGCAATAACAGCTGGTTGTAGAAACAGTTAATTGTAAGACGTGTTGACTGCAATAACAGCTGGTTGTAGGAACAATTAATTGTAAGAAGTGTTGACTGCAATAACAGCTGGTTGTAGGAACAGTTAATTGTAAGAAGTGTTGACTGCAATAACAGATGGTTGTAGGAACAGTTAATTATAAGAAGTGTTGGTGCAACAGATGGTTGTAGGAACAATTGTAAGAAGTGTTGACTGCAATAACAGATGGTTGTAGGAACAGTTAATTGTAAGATGTTGAGTGCAATAACAGCTGGTTGTAAAACAGTTGTAAGAAGTGTTGACTGCAATAACAGCTGGTTGTAGGAACAATTAATTGTAAGAAGTGTTGACTGCAATAACAGCTGGTTGTAGGAACAGTTAATTGTAGAAGTGTTGACTGCAATAACAGATGGTTGTAGGAACAGTTAATTGTAAGAAGTGTTGACTGCAATAACAGATGGTTGTAGGAACAGTTGATTGTAAGAAGTGTTGACTGCAGTAACAGATGGTTGTAGGAACAGTTAATTGTAAGAAGTGTGAGCAACAACAGCTGGTTGTAGGAACAGTTGATTGTAAGAAGTGTTGACTGCAACAGATGGTTGTAGGAACAGTTAATTGTAAGAAGTGTTGACTGCAAACAGTTAACAGATAAGGTTGTAGGAACAGTTAATTGTAAGAAGTGTTGACTGCAATAACAGATGGTTGTAGGAACAGTTGATTGTAAGAAGTGTTGACTGCAATAACAGATGGTTGTAGGAACAGTTGATTGTAAGAAGTGTTGACTGCAATAACAGATGGTTGTTGAACAGCAATGTAAGAAGTGTTGACAGATGGTTGTAGGAACAGTTTGTAGGAACAGTTAATTGTAAGAAGTGTTGACTGCAATAACAGATGGTTGTAGGAACAGTTAATTGTAAGAAGTGTTGACTGCAATAACAGATGGTTGTAGGAACAGTTAATTGTAAGAAGTGTTGACTGCAATAACAGATGGTTGTAGGAACAGTTAATTGTAAGAAGTGTTGACTGCAATAACAGATGGTTGTAGGAACAGTTAATTGTAAGAAGTGTTGACTGCAATAACAGATGGTTGTAGGAACAGTTGATTGTAAGAAGTGTTGACTGCAATAACAGATGGTTGTAGGAACAGTTAATTGTAAGAAGTGTTGACTGCAATAACAGATGGTTGTAGGAACAGTTAATTGTAAGAAGTGTTGACTGCAATAACAGATGGTTGTAGGAACAGTTGTTGTAAGAAGTGTTGACTGCAATAACAGATGGTTGTAGGAACAGTTGATTGTAAGAAGTGTTGAGTGCAATAACAGATGGTTGTAGGAACAGTTGATTGTAAGAAGTGTTGAGTGCAATAACAGATGGTTGTAGGAACAGTTAATTATAAGAAGTGTTGAGTGCAATAACAGCTGGTTGTAGGAACAGTTAATTATAAGAAGTGTTGACTGCAATAACAGCTGGTTGTAGGAACAATTAATTGTAAGAAGTGTTGACTGCAATAACAGCTGGTTGTAGGAACAGTTAATTGTAAGAAGTGTTGACTGCAATAACAGATGGTTGTAGGAACAGTTAATTATAAGAACGGATAATTGTACGATAGAAAGAAAATTAACTGAATATCAACAAAATTATATTTACATCTGGCTCCTGGCTCACCTGTGTGTGTGTGTGTGTGTGTGTGTGTTGGAACTTGGAGCACGTATGGGAGACAAATGGAGGAGAGTGGTCAACCAGAGGGGAAATACGTGGGGTGAGGGAGATAATGTGGAGGGACGGAGGGAGGAAGAGAGGGGGGGAGGGAAACTGGAAGGGAGGGAGGGAGGGTAACTGGAAGGGAGGGAGGGAGAGAAGGGGAAAGGAAGATGATAAGATAAACAGTTTAGTGGTGAAGGTCAGGGTCACGGCAAATCTCTCTCTCTCTCTCTCTCTCTCTCTCTCTCTCTCTCTCTCTTTCTCTCTCTCCCTGGACAGCACTGTTAGCCATAGTCAGCCAGGGTGTTGCTGGTGGCGTCAGGAAGGTTGTGTTGTGTTGGTCGGTGGTACTCCTGAAGAAGTAAAGTGACCATATTTCTAGGAGCTAAAAACGGGACATACCAAAAAATCATGAAAGAAAACCCTACAACCTGTACACCAACACCGATTATACAGTTATACTTGACCCAAAACCAAAACAATCGTACATAACAATGGTATTTGCCTACTTACCTTCTAATGCTCGTACTGTTCACTGGATAAGATTAGTTTTAACATCTATGGAGTTGATCTTAGCATAGTGTACAATTCCAGACAGGTTTACTTAAATTTAACCTTCGTGACTAGTAAGGTTTTGAGGGTTGGTACTTTTAGTTGTGGTTTTTGTAAATCTCCACAGTTTGTTCATTGAGATTAAATACTTTCAGCAGATGAATTTGATCCAGGAAGACACAGAATGAACTGAACCAATTTTAACAGGTGCTGGTGGGTAATATCTCTGTCCTTAAAGTGAACATTTCTACCCAGCGTTGGTCTGTAGGTAACTTAGCTACATACCACTCTGACACTTTTCCTCAGAGATATAACTTGTAACACAACAAAACTCGTCTAATAACTCAGTATCAAACTTTGAATCATAGAATTTTTTTTCTGCAGCAAATCTATTGTTTTCTCAACGTCTTGCCATTTTGGTATTTGCTTATCTGCAAAGTCTTACAAGTGACCTGACCACTGGCCTAACTACTGAACACATGTGTCATAAAAATATGTAACTGCTTTCTTCAATGCAGATGAGTTAATTGATCCATCTTTTTTAAGTCTGTTTGCTAGAACCCTCACTGAATGTGGTAAAAATACATTGCCTTTCTTGGATTGCAGATTTTGCTTCAGATCATTGATTGCGACATAAATTATAGTGCTGTTGTATCTTCCCCGTCAATCTTTGAGATGACTTGATGGAAGGTGGCTGACTGATTATGTACAATGTTGAGCCAGACTTCTGCACAATGGTTCTCAAAAGATTCTTGAGCACAACAGTACACTTGCTTTGAATGAGAAAATATGACTTTAAGTCTGAAAACATTCTAAGAATTCTTTCAACAGCAGGCATTGGCCCAGGGCACACCACACTAAGTGACACTACCCCTTGACCTCTGACCTTTCTCTTCTGACCTTCAAATATTTTCAGGGGAACCAGTTCAAGGGATCTAAAGTTGGTACGGCACACACACACACACACACACACACACACACACACACACACAACGATGACACACCAACTTTAAACCCCTGCCTGGGTACATCTAAATATACTTGGGTATGTCTGGGTATGCCTAATTATGTCTGAGTATATCTGGGTATGCCTGGGTATGTGTGGGTGTATCTGGGTATGACTGGGTATGTGTGGGTGTATTTGGGTATGACTGGGTATGTGTGGGTGTATCTGGGTATGCCTGGGTATGTGTGGGTGTATCTGGGTATGACTGGGTATGTGTGGGTGTATCTGGGTATGACTGGGTATGTGTGGGTGTATTTGGGTATGACTGGGTATGTGGGTATGGGTGTATCTGGGTATGCCTGGGTATGTGTGGGTGTATCTGGGTATGCCTGGGTATGTGTGGGTGTATCTGGGTATGACTGGGTATGTGTGGGTGTATCTGGGTATGCCTGGGTATGTGTGGGTGTATCTGGGTATGACTGGGTATGTGTGGGTGTATCTGGGTATGCCTGGGTATGTGTGGGTGTATCTGGGTATGCCTGGGTATGTGTGGGTGTATCTGGGTATGACTGGGTATATGTGGATGTATCTGGGTATGACTGGGTATATGTGGGTATGTTATATGATACGTCAAACTACTTGGTCATATCAAAATCCATTTCACTGGATGTATTTTAAGGCTGTTGGTATCCTTGACCTTTAGCCTTCAGTATTAGGGGGGTATATCACTCCCAGGCGTATTCTATTATTATACTGTGAAACTCTAGCTGTTTATTGTGTAGAGGCGCACACACACACACACACACACACACACACACACGGCTGCAACTCTATTAATAAACTGTTTATTATTATTGTTATTATTATTACACACACACACACACACACACACACACACACACACACACACACACACACACACACACACACACAGTGAAATGGACAAACAGGTTAACGAATATTATTATTGTCATCATCATCATC